CCCCCCCCTTCACACGACTGGGTTTTTGGCATTTGTGTAGGAAGATTCCAGCAACTCGGTGACCATTGGTGTTTCAGATGAGCATATAGGCTTGGTCCTTGGACGTGGAGGAAGAAACATCATGGAAATCACTCAGGTTTCTCGGAATTTTTCAACTACCTCTCTTGTTCTTGGTTCCCAAATCTCACCAAACCTCATCTTGTTAACCCGAGTGCACTGTTACTGCAGATGACTGGTGCCAGAATAAAAGTATCAGATCGAGGCGATTTCATTTCTGGGACAATGGAAAGGTAAAATCTTTGGTACAAACTATCACAGAAACTTGAAACCCGAGCACTAGATATGAGACGAGATCTGTTATAACGTGAGGGAAACTCGAAATCCAGGTTCGGTTAATTGAGATCGAGAACGGGTATTATCCATGGGTATCCGGATGATAGACATTTCGGGTTCGCTTAATATGGAAATTTTGGGTATCCAACTCCTAATGTACAGATTGTTTTGGGATTTTTCCTTTTTTTCCCGACAGGAAGGTGACGATCACGGGGTCGGAAAAAGCGGTTCATCAGGCCGAGGCCATGATCAAACAGAAGGCCGCCTCGGCCGAGGAGAGGGCCTTGGAGTAAACATCCCATTGTATCGGCTCTTACGCACAACTCATCGGTCGTCTGTTGTAACATTATTTGAAGTAGACAAAGGCATTTCATTTATTCATATTTAAATTAGTTTATTCATCACAGGAGGATTTTGCCAAGCATGGATTCGGTTCTTTCGCTTGTTTAGGCTTTTTGTTCCCATTTGGGTATTGATTTATCACTGATATAACCAGGGCTTAACTTTTAAAATATTTAAAAATAAAAATAATAAATCAAGCCAAGTCATTTGTCCAAAAATTTCAATTTCGGCCTAATCGACCGTCGGCGACAAGACGTTTATGAATAAGCAGATCTGTCGCCACTCATTCTCTGCTGTTGCGGATCCCATCTCTCTCTCTCGCACTTCACCGGCTCCGCCGCCGATTCATTTTCCGGCGGATCTGACCTTTCTCCGTTTCGCTTCTTGATCCAGGTTCGTCCCTTCTTGTTCGGTTCTGTTTTTCTTTTCTGAATTTTGTGTCTGGTCAATGGTGTTCGTGAAGCAGTAGGAACTCTTGCGTCTGGATCTGTAAATGATGTCAATGTTAAGATGTTTAATTTCGCGATCCTCTTGTTGTTCCGCATTTCGGGTTTAGGATCCGCAATTTGTTTCCCGTTTGTTTCCTGGGAAAATGATCTGGGAGAAAGAAAATTCGGATATTAGTGCAGCTTCGCGTAGAGATCTGAATTCGTTTGGGAATTCTTCGAAAATGGCAGACTGAAGCTGTGAGGTGATCAGCGGTTTCGTTGTTTCCGGGTAATGGAAGAGATCAAGAAAGAAATCGACGTCAGTGATTGGCATTCCAATCTAGCCTACGATGAATGGACACCACTCCCTGTTCCTGGTCCACGAGCATCAGCTCGATACAAGGTGACTGCATCTGTTTAAGGATTTTCTTTGCACCCTTTGGTCTCTGTTACTTGAATCATTCTCTTGTCAGGATCTTCCAACAGTTTATCCAATGATAAGACCATTCTTGTTGTTCCCTGTGGTAATGCTTCGTCCTTTGTCGTAGTTATTTGTTCCTATACTTATTGCAGCATGCAGCAGCGATCGTTGATGAGAAACTATACATTGTTGGCGGAAGTCGTAATGGCAGATACTTGTCTGATGTACAGGTACTTTGGGTTTCTGTCCCTTTCGATCTGTCAATGTCATCCTCTTCTTTATTGATCTTGTGGCCTCTTCTTTATTGATCTTGTGTTGATTTGGTAACTTACCAGGTCTTTGATCTGAGAAGTTTGACGTGGTCTAATCTCAAACTGAAACCTGAAGCAAGTGCTGACAACATTGAAGATGGTAGCTTGCAGGAAGCTTTTCCTGCCATTTCTGATCACCGTATGGTAAGTACTTGTACGAAGATGAATTTACAAACATGTATAGATAGCCAGGGGTAATTGTGAACATTTCGGCAGATGAAGTGGGGGAACAAGCTTCTCCTAATTGGGGGGCACTCAAAAAAACCTTCAAGTAACATGTCAGGTCAGCATATGCAGGACGCATTTTTATGTCCTGTGTTCTGCAATAGAATACGGATTAGTTGGTGCCCTTTTAGATGCTTATAGTGTGTTGATGCTTCCTTGTAGTGCGCTTCATTGATCTGGAAACCCATGTATCTGGTGTTATCGATGCATCGGGGAGAATCCCGGTAAAGAAACAGCTCCCTCAGTTTCTAGCTACAAAGATTATATTTCGGATGTTTATGTACCTACCATGTTTCAGGTATCACGCGGTGGACATTCCATCACACTGGTCGGGTCCCGAGTTTTTGTGTTTGGTGGAGAAGATAGGAACAGGAAGCTGCTAAACGATCTGCATGTTCTTGATCTTGAAACCATGACTTGGGATGTTGTTGAGACAATGTAAGTTTGTACGCTATTGCTGTGAGCTGGTGCCATGACTGTGTACAACAGTTCCGGTTTTGTAGGTTTAGATCTTGAAGTGCTCCATTCATGTCATGGTCTTTTGATTTGACAGGCAGCCGCCTCCAGCTCCCAGATTTGATCACGCAGCTGCTGCATATTCTGAACGTTACCTCCTGATTTTTGGTGGATGTTCTCATTCGATCTTTTTCAACGATCTTCATGTCCTTGACCTGCAAACGGTAAGCACATATTATGGTCCTTCTGCTTAGGCACCTATTGCTATGGTTTGTCACAATTGCATTCTTATCTTTTTCTGATTGACTTTGTGCGTGGCAGATGGAGTGGTCACAACCTCATGTTCAGGGTGACACCGTGACTCCTAGGGCCGGACATGCCGGAACGACGATTGATGATAACTGGTATATTGTCGGCGGAGGTGATAACAGCAACGGTACATGCAATCTTTGATTCTTGAATGATTTTGGCTCCTCCAAATTGACATGCTCCTGCAATTCTCTTCACCCACAACGCCTCTTCCATATGCAGGTTGTCTAGAAACTCTTGTGCTAAATATGTCAAAACTCGTGTGGTCGATATCAGCCAATGTAGGGGCAAGGCATCCACTTGCAAGCGAGGTAAACTTCTCAAGTATCCACTGACTCCCTGCGTACACTCTCATTCTTCACGTGACACGGGAATTCAATCGTAGGGTCTGAGTGTTTGCTCAGCATCAATACTTGGGGAGAAGATCTTGGTTGCTTTTGGTGGCTATAATGGGAAGTATAACAATGACGTAAGTAGTGTAACCAAACATATATATATACTCACTCAATCTCGTTCAATCGAATTTTATTATCACAATCGACATATTTCCTTCGATGAATGCAGATATTTGTGATGAGACTTAAACCCGGGGAATCATCGCGTCCAAAGATCTTCCGGTCGCCAGCAGCTGCTGCAGCTGCAGCCTCTGTCACCGCTGCTTATGCGTTGGCCAAATCGGAAAAGTTGGACTTCCCTCCAGCAGTAGGCAACCCAACTCCCAACGGAATCGGGAACGGAGACAGCCTCTCTGGAAAGGATCTAAGCAACAGAATCGAAACGATTAAAGAAGAGAAAAGAGAATTAGAGTCGAGGATTGAAGAAGCTCGATCAGAAAATTCAAAACTAAGGGAAAAGACAGACGAAGTTAACAGCAGCCACAGCGAACTATCTCAAGTAATGCATCATCAAAAGCACCCATCATAGGATCTTTAACAAAACAGCAAACTTTCTGACAGAAAGTTTCTGACTTTTTTTTTTTTCCTGCAGGAGCTCCAATCCGTACAAGGTCAACTCATTTCCGAGCGATCAAGATGCTTCAAACTCGAGGTTTCTTCTCGTCGTTCCTGCCTTTCTTCTTTGTGTCTTCTACCGGTTTTTGTCCCTCGTTATATCTGACCGACGGCAACGAACAGGCACAGATTGCGGAACTGCAGAAAGCGTTGGAATCGATGGAATCAATAGAGAAGGAAGTGGAGATGCTTCGAAAACAGAAATCGGAATTAGAACAGCAAGAAGCGGAGGAAGCAACAGTGCAAAGACAAGGCTCTGGCCGTGGCGGCGTCTGGCGCTGGATCTCCGGGTAAAATCTCAAAAGGTTTGAATTTCAATTGTCGCTATCTGCATCTTCTTACATCGCAAATCTGAAGCTGTCCGGATGCCCGTTCTCTGTCGGTTCTTCATGAGCTGAATGAATCCAAGAGAGTTAGTTTATATACAGTTTTGGGTTCTGTCGTTTCGAATCAATTTGTTTCTTATAAATTTTTTCCAGTAACATGTTCATGCTGAACCCACATTTCTTTCCTTTTCATGTTCGTTAAATCCTTTCGGATTTAGATATTTTGATTTACAAAAATAATATTTATTTGTTTTTAAAGTTGGTCCAATTTGATTAGACCACTATTTTTTTCATCATATTTCTTTTAAGAAATATAGTTTTATACAACATTGATCATTTAATAGGAATTCGAAATGAGGTTTGCTTCAAATACTATAGTTGTTTATGGATAAAGATTTTAGGCCACCGACCGCGCGATTTTACTACCTGAAGCTATTACGTCAAACAAATGACAGATTTTTCTCCTGTGGTGCCACGTGGATAAAATCACAGATTCTAGAAGATTCTCCCAACTTCTTGGAACAAAAAAGAAGAGAACAGAAGAAGCAGAGCTAGAGTTCTGGCCTGAACAAACCGCATTAAATACATGACAATAGAACCCAACTTGTCCCCCCGACGACACGGTCACTGCCCTTATCCTAATTTTACAACAGAGATCCACATCTGATCTCTCAACATTAAGTTAACGGAGAACAACCTGATCGACTTCTGTCAGTCTTTTCTAAGAGCATTGTCCCTTGACGCTCTTTTCCTAAGCTCCTCGTTCTCCTGACGCAATGCATCGATCCTTGACTGAAGAATGCTGATCATTGCCTCTGCGCTCATCATTTCCAGCTTGAACGTCTCTCTCTCCACCGACATCTGGTGGATCTCCCTCTGCAGATCGTTGATCAGCTTGGTGCAGTTACCGGGCATAACCATTGTAGTGGCTCCCACCTCGTCCTTGGCTTTGTTTTTTTCCGGGGAAGAACGTTCCTCCATTCATGTCATGGTCTTTTGATTTGACAGGCAGCCGCCTCCAGCTCCCAGATTTGATCACGCAGCTGCTGCATATTCTGAACGTTACCTCCTGATTTTTGGTGGATGTTCTCCTCAGGAGGAGCAGAATCCGAACTCGAGCAAAGCAGAGATTGCAGTGTTAGTTGCAGCAGAAGATGTCAAGGTTGTAGTTGTGGAGGAACAGTGATCTTGGGTGATTCGGCTCGAGTTGTGAGAGTTGCCCATCGACTCGTTTTGGCGTCTGCGTTTGTATTGGAGGAGAGGTAAGGACGCTTCTTTGTTCAGGACGCAAAGAGGAGGAGGACAGTCTTCTTGGGTGAGTTCATGCTTTGGCGAGCTCTTGTTCTTCTCTTGCTGCTTGTGGGCATCATCATCATCATCATCATCATCATCATCATCATGCTCTTTGTTAGGAACAACTCTTGCCAGTACATTATCGATATGAGTCTCTCTCGGGAGCTCGTTGATGTTGATGAGATTTTTGGTCATCGATTGGATCTCCTACACCAATTATAATCAGTGTAAACAAAGATTAAAATGCATCATATCATCATCAGTAGCAGCAGCAGCAGCAGCAGAAAGAAGATTGTATGCAATTGAACATCTCAGATGTTAATAATTAAAAAAAAAAAGTTTAGTCTTGCTCTAAAAAAGCAGAAACCTGATCAGATTCATTACTGCCATTGGCATCCTCGGCAACTTGTAGAGGCCCCCCCATGACCCTCACATCTTCTCCTGGGATCAGAGCCATTCCACCTACATCCCACTCTTCTTCCAAGAACGGTGCATATCGGTTCCCACTCGGTGGCCCGATGTTGTTTTTGTGAAATACTCTGCACAACACATAAGCATCTTGCTGCACCCACCAAATAAAAAGTGATCAGATTTGACTTTTTCGCAATCTGAAATGCAGTTATGTCACACATGTAACAGAGACTGTCGATTTTGCAACTCAAGCAGGAGCCCACAAATTTACCAATGCCCCATCTGCAGGAACACATCCGCCAGTTTTAGATGTGCAGATTCTTTTACAAGCATGAAATTAGAACCACTGACGACAAATAGTTGAACAACGCATATTTCCAGCCTAAATGGTTCAAGTATACTTGAACAAACTAACAATTGAACAAACGTCTAAGCAACAAGACAATCGAAAGCCTAAAAAGATGGTTTCAGTCCACAAGAACAGACATTTCCAACACATGGAGTAACCATGAAAAAGGAATCTTCAGACAGTATGTACCTGCATGCTTCCATTCTTTTCCACTTCATATTCAACAAGGCGGTACTCGTGCATGACCCAATTGGTCCGCAGCCCATCCGGAGCACGCCCACTGTGAAACACAAGGGTCTTTTTCATCCCAATCAACTGGGTTACACGCCGAATTTCCCTGTCTTTTCCAGTAGCTTTCCAGTACCCTTTGTTCGTTGCCCGGTTCATTCTACCACCATTTCCATACTTTTTATCCAATGCACTGAAGAAATACCATTCCTGGTCTCTTGTCTTTAACTTGGAATACCCTGAAACACGAAAAGAAGACCTTCAGTGATATACAACACTAACTAAACCTCAGACAGAAGACCAATGGCGCAACAAAGGATCCCATTTCCTGAAACACAAGAAACCAAAGCTGGAACACCAAACCGCACGAAATCTGAAAGAGTTCCCAGAAAACTTGAGAGAATTGATATGGCTCGTATTTGAAGCATGATGTAAACGCTTATCATGATACCTAAATTTAGCAAAAGTACCGACAACTACAGTGCGACAGAAATTTTTCCAGTAGAAAATCAGAACCCAACAAGCACAAGCCCTCATCGGCGAAGATCATCGAGAGAATCACTTCAAAAAACCCTAGAAACACGAAACCCGACGAACAATCGAAACATAATCCTCGAAATCCCAAATCAGAAGCAACAATCAGAGTCTCCCAGCGAAACCAGAAATATCACACACAAGCCAGAGCCCAGAAACAAAGCCCAGAGAGAAAATAAAAAAGAAGGGCGAACCTGCTAACTCCCAGGGCTCGTGCTTGTAGATATCGACCTCCCCAATCGCACTGAAACGCACGGGTCTCCTCAGAACCTTCCTCTTCAAGTAATAACTGACGAGTTCTTCATCGGTCGGGTGAAATCGGAAGCCAGGAGCCAACGCCGTCGCCGAAGCGGATGAGGCCGGCGGAGTCTCCGGAGCGGTCACCGGAGACGGCGAAGACACGACAGCGACAGATTCACGGCCCATAGATTTCCGTACCGGTTCTAGGGTACCGATTCCTCTCTCTCTCTTCCCCAAACCTTGCTTGCGGAGAAAACGAACAAACCCAGAAAAAGTTGGCAGATGGGTTTTTGATTGGGGGAGAAGAAACAAAGAGAGGAGCCCGAGAAAGGGTACCTTCGATTGCAAGAAATTTGTTTGTTTCGCGGACCTAGAAAAATGTTTTCTTTTTAATTTGCCTTTTCTTTCTACAAGAGTGATGCACAATAAAACCCTAGATAATTTCACAGCGCCGTTTTGTCGTTTTGTGCGGTGAAAGCAGTTTTTACAGCTTCAAGTAGACCGCAGTGCAAAATAAAAATAAATATTTTCTGTTTTTCCAAAGCCATGGACCGACCTAGCCTGATATAATTTTTTTTTTAAATATGACATTGTTTTTTTTAAATTTCCTTTATCGTAAACGGCGTGTGTATGTATGTATATATATATATATATCATCTGCCAAATATTTTACATATTGGATACTTCATGATATATACGGTTACGTTATTTTGTTAGGGGAGTAGGATTTGTACCAAAACTGGATGGTATTTTGAATATTCATCTGTTCTAAAAAGGGATAATTTAATTAAAAAAACTTGTGATATATCTATACGTATATATTTTTACATGTATAAAAAAATAGAGTAAAATCGATATCAATACACACTAGTTTAGTGTAGATATGGATTATCTAGTTTACTAACACCAACTCTCACAATATAATATTATAAAATTAATCTTAATTATTTAATTTCGTTTATGTAAAATTAATTAAAACTGATATAAATTATATATATAATAAACTAGTTAACATTTTTATTTTCATGACGTTATTAGTATTTTAATAATAAATTTTATATACAACTTCATATAGTCATATATATCGTATATGGTTTTCCAGATTCGGTCAAAGGGTAATTGCAAAATATACACCGGTTAAAACGGTAATTTTAATAACTAGGGATAGGTAATTAAATGGAATAATGAAGAGAGAGAGGAGTGGGAGGTACGTTTGGTTTACTTTACCGGTAAGGCAAGTAAAAGACGAAACGCTTTGGTCCACATCAATCATCATCTTCTCCATTTTAATATTTATTTATTTATTTTATAATCCTTGCATTTTTTTTTTGGTAAAGATAATCCTTGCATTTTCATCTCAACAAATTAACTAATTGATCAATCTGTGAAGACGATGATGACGTGCAGCAAATTCAAATGTTAAAAACAATTAATTATATTGTAATTTGTATCTGATACATACATGGGATATATAATGATGAGCAATTTCAGAAAGAACAAATATTTTTCATGTATGTGTCTGTTTATACATAAATTGCTTGATTTTCCGTTTTCCTATGTTGAGTTATATCAGCTTCAAAATTAAAAATTATATATATAATATATCTGTCCAAAACTATCTGATTTTTGAAAATTTTGAGTAGATAAATCCAATTGGGTGAAATGAACGTATAAATAATTGTTTGTTGTATAAAATTTGATTGCTTGTTATATAAAAAAAAAAATCAAATTTAGCAAATGTAAAACAAATATAAAATTAACCAAGAAAGATAAAATATCTTTAATAAAAGTCAATAATTTCATAAAATTTAAATATTGTATAGACATATATTTGTATGAATTCAAAAAAAAAAGTTAAAAGGAATAAGGAAAACAAACGTAATGGAAATCGAACTGTTTACCCTAAACCCTGCCACGCGTTCCACACCCATCACGTGACTTTTCTTTGACGTCTCACCAAACCTCTTCCCTTCCTTTTTCAATTTTTTAAAAATTAAATCATAAGAAAATCAACGCATATTCACCGCACATATATGTATATATAAACACACCCATCTTGTTATTTTCTTCACCCATTAAATAAAAATAATAATCTCTACAACCTTTTTTTCCCCCCCAGAAGAGAATAAATTATATAGAAGTTTGAAAAGATGGGGAAATCGATCGGACCGGTGGAAGTAGCTCCGACGATGCTCGTTTTTCCGACAAGGGTTTCAGCCTCACCTTCCCTCGAAACCATTCTCGAGGAAGAAGATGAAACTCGGAGTTTCTGATCTTTAATTATCATTATTATCCTTTTTAACAAAAAAAGATTTTGTGTAATTCTGTTGAAACCCTATTAATAATGGTGTATTACTCTTTTGTTTTTTTTTTAAAAAATAGATATAATCAAACGTGTTGTCCGTATATTATATATGTCGAAATAATATTGTAGTTTTTGAAACAATAATTGAACTTAAATATAATCCGAATAGAGTGTAAAAGGGATTAAAATTCGAGAATATATATATATATATAACGAAAAAACGATCAAAATCGAAATCCAACCATGGTTGGGCCCCCATTGCCTATCAAGCAATTTAAGATGGGCCCATGATTCTGTTATATTGGGCCTTCCAAAGTCCATTTCTCATCCAAAGCATGATTTCTTACATTTTTCACCTGCTTTTGTTTATTATAAGATACCTGCTTTGGATTTACTGTTTATTCTTAGTAAAATTTATTTTCAAACATGGAAGAAAAAATAAAATAAAAGATGCGAAATCTAATAAATAAATTGCATTAAATACAAAGATGAATACAAACAGTTGGCAGTGTCAAAACATGCTTTGTTGAATTTATTTGTAAAGGATGGGTCCCACAAAAAAGTACACAAACCAACCAGATTCATTGTTTCTCATAGCCCTCATTGATCAGTCAAACCAATGCACTTTCCTTGTTTATAATATGGATTTCTCATTTCTTTTTTTTTTCTTATGTTTTTCTAATTACTACGCCAATTTATAATTTCTCTTTTTTCCCCTTAAAAACTCCATTCCTCTGTTTTCTATTTTTTTTCCTTATATTTTTACTTAAAAACTTAAACTACAAAAAAAGAAATGTACAATTTATCATATTCATATTATGTTTGATCTATTTTTTTTATAATAAAATAGAACTTTTTAATCATATAGATTATTGATTCAATTGATTATGTATTATATACAAGCATATGTTTCGGATTTTTAGTGGATTTTGATATATTAATAAATTTCTAATTTTTACCACGAAGGTTATGATCACTTTTTGGAGTCTTGAATATATTAATGAATTAAGTCCCACTATTTGGAGTATTAATGTGTTTTTAGATTTATATATTGAATTTCTATAAATATATGAATTTTTAAAATATTATTAAATTCTCACTGATATTTATGTATTATATATATTGTTATAGATTTAACTTTTCAAATATTAAGGGAACTGTTTTGACGAGAGCCCGCACTCTGTCAACATCTATATATATAAAAGTAGAGTTGATTGATATGGGGATGACACGTGTCATATCTAAAAGATTAATAAAAAAGTTAAATAATTTATATTATATCAATTTTTGTGCATAAGATTAATGTAAAAAATATTCTACAAATAAACCTATAACGTATAAGTTTTTGAGCATATTTATTGTTGTCATCAGTTTTAGTCAAATTGTTTTTATTAATTTTGAATAATGATGTTTGAATCCAATGAACAATGATAACTTCAATAAATGAATTGTAAACTATAAATAGGTGAGTTTTCACGTTCAATCATCATTCAATTATTATTTTCAGCCATTGCTTTTGGTTTTAATTTGTTCAGGTAATAAATTTAAATTTGTTTTATTATTTTATTTTATCGGTTTTTTTTTCATCTCGATTCTTATAATCTTTCGGTATAGTCAATTACTTTTGTAATCTACGTATATGTATATTATATTTGTTTCTTTACAGATTATTTTTCTATATTTTTACTAAAGGTTAATATCTAAATATGTATGTTTCTATATCTATGGGTTTTTTCACAATTCATGCAATATCGAGGTATTTTCATTTTTTAATAAAAGGTCAATTTAATAGATAAAACTATATTGGTTTAATGTATCGGTTGGCACCATGATGATCAGCCAAAGAAACACCCCTAAAGGTTGATCAAAACAGGCAAAGAAACATTATATACCGTGTTGGATGATTTTTTGTATTTAGATGTCTATACATGTTATATTGTTATTTTTATCATAGGTTCTAATTTTGATCAAAACATTTATTTAAAATTTTCTTATATTAACATCATATGTACATATTGTATATGTATATATACAGAGAAAGTAAATAAGTTACTTAAAACCATTACGCCTAATTAATGATAAAACTGAGTTATTTTATTTTTGTTTAGAGATAGTATTTCATATGTATATATTGTATATCTATCTATATATATTATATTATATATTATATATATATAAATAAAAGTAAAGTAGATTCATCTAGGGATTACACGTGATATATTTGTAATAATTAAATGCAGTGGAGTTACGTACCTTTTGACAAAAAAAAATATATCGTACCATAAATATATTGTATATTATATATGTTTATATACAGAGAAAAACTTATGTTTTTTGTTTCTCATTTTCTATTTAATCTGGTTGTTTTTCAAATAGAATTAATTTTTAAATTGACTTTATAACAATGAATCATCAACAAAACATATTTTGTTAATGTTATCAATTTGTTAAACACAACGTTTAATTTGTTTGTATTATAATTTTTTGTGTTTATCAGAACTGTTGTAACTATAAGTCTAATGGATCGATTTGATCAAGAAGTAGATGACAAACTTGGGAATAAGGTATGTTATTTTTTTGTTAGTTTTAGCATTGTTTTGATATCATTATGATTTATCCATTATTAGTAATGTTTGAGGACCAACTATATATATATATATAATGATAAAACGTTAAGATGACAAACTTGACCGAATTCATCTTAACATCTTTTCTTCTTTTTTTTCGATGTTTTTTTTTAATATTTGATTAATAATAATGTTTTGAATTTACGTTGGTAATAAAAAAACTTAATAAACCAAACATGTCACTTTGTTAGTATTAACAATTTATTAAATTTAAGTAAATATAACATTTTATTAGTACCAAATCATATATTTTAATTTTTTAAAACTATATATCATATGTATATATTATATATGTTACAAGTAAAAAATTATGTTTTTGTTTCTCATTTCCTACTTAATGTGTATGTTTTTTTATACGGAAGAATAAAGTAAATTTAACGCAATACATTTATATTATTTTAAAAATGTTTAATTCCGAGTAAAACTTCAATTTAAAAATTTTGTTGTTTTAATATCCTATGTAATATGTAATGTATATCTTTATTTATAAAAAGTTAAAAAAATATATTTTTGTTTTCTATTTCTGTTTAATCTATTTGTTTTTTATATGATTAGTAGTATTTTTAAAATTTTACTAATAATGAAAAATAATCAGTCAAATATGTCATTTTGTTAGTGTTATCAATTTGTTAAATGTAAATAAACAAAATATTTCATGGTACCAAAACATATATATATATATATATATATATATATATATATATTTTTAATATCATATGTATATAATATATGTTTATACATAGAAGTTAAAAAAATTGTTTCTGTGTGCCAATTTCTATTTAACATGTTTGTTATATATATATATATTTATTAATTTTTATTTTTATTGGACTTTAATAACAATGAATCACATATTAGATAATTATTATTCTCTACGTGGCATTTTGTTTGGTTTTCATTAATTTGTGTAAAACATAATATTTATCTACTAAACATATTTTAAATATTTTTAAGGAGAATCATCCCAATGACTTTTATGTATAAATACATATATTATTACATTCAATGATTGCTTTATTCATATGAAAGTAATAAATAAATATATTATATTACAAATAATATCGTTATTGATCAAATTATTAAATCAATTGTAGGAATCGAAAAACCAGATGGACTCAGTGATTTCAACCTATGTAGGATTGGATCAGATGAGTATACATCATAAGTATCGGTGTATTATGGTCAGATTTCTAAGGATATGGGACGAGCGAAATCCTTTCAATAGGAATGGATTCAATGACATCGGATTCTTATTAATTGGTGAAAATGTACGTTCTGTTTAGCATTTATTTTCTTATGTTATGATTATTAAAAATCTAATCGTTTCTACTTATAACATTGCAGGAGAATATTGTTGAAGGAAAAATATTTCAGAATCATGCAGAAAAATTTAAAAATATAATAAATGATAGAGATGTATTTTTAATTAGGCATTTCAAGATTTTACCAAATAAAAATATATATAAATTAATGAACAGTAAATTCCGTATTTATTTTACAGAATATACTACTGTTGAAAAAATTGTTGTAACTCCTTATAGTATTGCCAAAGAGAAATTTCGGATATGCTTATACGATGATTTATTGGCGTTGGCAAACAAAAAACAAGACCTACCAGGTATGTGACATTATAAAAAACAAAAAGAAATATTGGATTTTATAATTAATATATCCTTTAATGTTACAGATATTATTGGAGTTTTAGTCGCAATACAAGGATCAAATTTACGAATGTCATCCTCAACTCAAAAAATTATTTTTCGTTTATTATTGGAAGAGTAAGTTTTTAAATTTAATTTTCACTGCACAAACTATCATTTTAATAAACTTTAACTCATTTAATTTTATACAGACTAACATATAATTTCAATATAAAAACCAGTAACAATATTGTCAAACTTTCCGTATGGGATGATCTTCTGCAGAACTCCGTTCACAAATTCATAGATTGACTGTCAGAAAAAGTATTATAGTCGTTACGGGTGTAAATCCAAAGATTATCTACGGTAATTATTTAACACAAATTAATTCATAAATATTTGATAGATTAATATTTAAAACTTCATCATTTTTATACTGAGCTTACTAATACATTTTATGTATCAGGTGTTCTATCGCTCAACACATCAACATCTACAAAGATTTATACAGATGAGAAACTGAACATTATCAAAAAATTTCGTCGAAGGTAAATAAATTATACAAATTCTTGAAAAAATCTATACTTATAATATTTACCAAAATAATTTTTATTATTATTTCACAGCCAATTTTTTTTACAGTTGAAGAAAAGCCATACCCGTACTGAAGGCAATCATAGTATATCGGTTACATTGAAACGATAAAATATCTATGCACTGATGTTAATATTTAGTCATTGATTTAATTCTGTTTACAAAAAATATAATGATATTTTTATATTATTAAAGTTTTCTATTTATATTTTATGTAATTCAAACAACTTGTCTTAGTTTTTGCTACATTCATATTACCAAATTAAATACCAATATAATAAACACAAAGTATTTCATATCATGTATAACTCAAATGCATCATAAAATCTTTATTAATTTAACCAAACCGGTTTATTTAATATGAACCAAAAAAATATACAATTTTGGTTTAGTGATACGACATGTTCACGTGGTAAATTTTAATTATATGTCCAGCTATATAATCTGTTTACTTAACGCAATTCAAAAAAATTAAACGTCGTTGGAGGTGGTGTAGAAAATTATTAAACATTTTAATATTTGATATTTTAAATCCGCGCAGCTTAGATCCTATATAAAAAATAAATGGTTAAAAACAAAAATGATAGATAAAACATAGAAAAGGATGAAAATCGTGGTTACCGGAAAAACTATTATGTGCATCTACAAATTTTATAAAAATTACGAATAAATTATATTTTGTTAATTATATATTGGGGTATAATACTCCGATTATTTTAATTGAATAATATAAATTATAAATTAAAAAACAAAAAATAATCTATTTAATTTTAAAATTAATAAAAAAAATATGTAAAACCGCAAATATTTAGTCCGCGCGATGCGCGCGGGTTATTACCTAGTATTTAAAAAAAAAAAAACAAAAAAGGGGAAAAAAAGGCGCAGACAGCTGACGACGTGGCCACGTGATTCCCCCCAAACCAACCATCTCTTTGTAAATCTCTTTTCACTCCCCAGTTTCTCTTTATTTTGATTTTGGCCCCTTAGTTTTATTATATGACGCCCCGATCCTTTTTATTTGTAACTTTTTTATCGCATGGATTATATCATTTTACTTCCCTGAGGGCCACAAGTTTATATTAGACGTTTTAGGAGTATTATTATGGTTGACTGGTTGAGGAAAAGTTAATGGCTTTTATTGGTTATTTTTTGGCAATTTTACCTTTATTCAATTTAAAATTTTTATATTAGATCTTTTTTTTATATACAAAAAAATCATTCTAAATTGTATCGGTTTTCACTTTCAATATATATTTCACATAATAACATCACTCACCCTTTATTATTAATTATAAAATTTTGTCTTTTTCAGTAAATTTGGAAAAAATACGTGGAAAAAATATTTTCTCATATTAGGGCCTGTTTTGTAAGATTTCCGAATTAGTGCGGTCCAAAATAAGAAAGTGAAGAAATGAGATGATTGCGTTTAAAATCTCAAGGTCGGACTTTGGAATCATATGCACAAGTGGACAAAAAAATGGATATTTATTTGCATGGGAATATTATGAAATAATTCATTTGTTATATATATATATATATATATATATATATATATATATATGTTTCATGTCTGATATACAAAAAAATCATTCTAAATTGTATCGGTTTTCACTTTCAATATATATTTCACATAATAACATCACTCACCCTTTATTATTAATTATAAAATTTTGTCTTTTTCAGTAAATTTGGAAAAAATACGTGGAAAAAATATTTTCTCATATTAGGGCCTGTTTTGTAAGATTTCCGAATTAGTGCGGTCCAAAATAAGAAAGTGAAGAAATGAGATGATTGCGTTTAAAATCTCAAGGTCGGACTTTGGAATCATATGCACAAGTGGACAAAAAAATATGGATATTTATTTGCATGGGAATATTATGAAATAATTCATTTGTTATATATATATATATATATATATATATATATATATATATGATTCATGACTGCTTGCTGACAAAGACGGTCGGTGAGCATGGATCGCTAAATCTAGATCACGCTGTCCCCTTAAGATACGTCTAATAGATTTGTCTTTTTTTATTTATTATTTACCAATTGTTTGTTTCAACATCATGAACTGAAAACATAATCTTCCTAAATAAACTCCCCATTATTTACGTTACTTCTATCCATCAAATTACTGTCAGTGCACCCATTGAATATTATTTATATAATAAATTGTTATTTTTAGATTGGTAATCCTATCATCTGTGCAATTTTGTCTTTTCAACTTTTCAGACTTTTGTTGCACTGTATTGAAATGTGACGTGGATTTAAATGATAAGATTTGAGACCAGATATAGATCTATAACATGTTATATTTCGAGGAAGATGTGATTTATGGTCACTATATTAAGTGTATTGCTCTATGTTTCACCTTAAACTAATTTTCAATGCCTAAAAAAAATTGCATATGAAGTGGGTATGAGATGTGGAAAAACCATATAATATGGGGATATTGACAGTCGATTTAAAATTTTGTATAAATAACCCCAAAAATAAAAATCAAGAAAAACATGTGGCATTGTACTTGTGCAAGTAATCTCCGTATTAAATGCAATAAATTCAATGTAGCATTTAAGATTTGGACCGTTTTGAGTGAGGGAAAAGACACGATTGCTCGTGTTCTTGATTGAGTTAAAAAACAAAGTTGTACTAATTAATGAACTGCAGCCATATATATATATATGTGTGTGCGTGTTAAGGATTCGGCAGTTAAAACTACGAATTTTATTGGTTAGTCATTTTAAGAAACGAACAAGTAAGATTGTTAGTTATGGAGAGAGATTTTTGCTGCAAAATTATTATGTTACGACGAGGGAAAAAAAACTTTTTTTCCATTAAAGGAAACAAAACAAAGACGAAAGCCACGTTCTTTGTTCGTCAGCAGTCAACCTGTCAAATGACAGATTTTGCCGATCTTCATCTTCCTCTTCTTAAGTTCATGAACCTCATCTGCAACTGAAATCCATGGAAACCCATCATTTTCTTCTCATTCTCTCTCTGGTTCCGTCGTTTCTCGCCGTACCCGGATCCGCGTTCGGATCCTCTGGCCCCATCGCTGCGGCGTTCGGCGGCGGCGGCGTTCGCGATGGTTTCTTCTGTGCCATTGACGCAAGTGGCCGTCAAGAAGTCATCTGCTGGGGCCAGAACTATTCGTCTCCATCTTCGTCTCCTTCCTCTGCTTCCGCGAGAAGCATGATTCCGTCCATGGCGGCTCTCTCCGGCGGAGATGGGTTCCTCTGCGGTGTTTTATCGAACACTTCTCAGGCGTTCTGTTTCAGTTCCCTAGTGTCCCCTTCAGGTACGGATCTTGTCCCTGTTGCTTACCGGACCAATGCTTACTCCCAGATCGCCGCGGGGAAGAGCCATGTTTGTGCAGTTAGAGGAGCTTACTACTCGGATCATGATTCGGGCATTGTCGATTGTTGGGAGATTTCGAGAACTTCGAACAATAGCTTGGTTGCGAAAGATGGGTATCCGTTTCATGATCAGAGTGTTAGCAATCTCGTGTTCAACAAAGTTGTTTCCGGAGATGGGTTTAGCTGTGGAGGGATTAGAGAAGGAGGAACAATCTGTTGGGGACCCAATGCGTCTAAATTAGGGTTTAACGCCACCTCCGAGAATTTCGAGATCTTAGCCGCGGGAAAAACTTCGCTATGTGGAATTCTGAATTCGTCTCGTGAAGTACAATGTTGGGATGAGGATGAATCTTTCGCTGATTTCCCGGTCGGGGTTAGATTCGTATCGTTAACAGCCGGAGCTCGACATTTCTGTGGAATCCGTGAGGATAATCACGAGGTCGAATGCTGGGGAAGAAGTTCGAACTTTTCGTCTGTTCCTAAGGGTTCTGGATTCAAGGCCATTGCTTCATCTGATTTCACCAGTTGTGGCATCAGGGAAGACGATTTAGTTCTTGATTGCTGGCTGGTTGATGGGTCATCGACCTTGGATTATGATCCACCGTTGGAGCTATGCAGCCCAGGGCTTTGCCGTGCTGGCCCTTGTAACGAAGGGGAGTTTGCTTTCAACGCAAGCATCCTCAACGAGCCAGATCTAACCAGTTTGTGTGTTAGGAAAGATTTGGTGGTCTGTTCGCCTTGCGCGTCGGATTGCTCTGAAGGGTTCTTCCTGTCTAGTCCCTGCAACGAGAACTCGGATCGTGTCTGCACACCATGCTCTCTCTGTCAGAACAGTTCTTGCTCTGCTGTCTGTAAGCTTCTTCACTCCTCGATTGAGAAGCATTGGCATCATATGCAGAGGCTGATGGTTCTCATAGCTGGTTCTTGTGCCTCGGCTCTATTGCTCATCACAATCGGTTGCTGCATAGTTCCGCGGATGATCTCTAGCCCGAAAGAGGACAGGGCTGGGAATCAGTTCAAATCTTGCATTGGAAAACCCGAGTTGGACGCAGAAGTTCCGGCCCAGATCTCACCTTCTCCATCAGTCACTCCATGTCCAGGAGCTGCACAAGTTTTCAGACTCTCTGAGCTAAAAGACGCGACGAACGGGTTCAAGGAATTCAACGAGCTCGGAAGAGGAAGCTACGGTTTTGTATACAAAGCCGTGTTAGCGGACGGGAGGCAAGTAGCCGTGAAGAGAGCGAACGCAGCCACGATCATTCACACGAACACGAGAGAATTCGAGATGGAACTGGAGATTCTCTGCAGTATCAGACACTGCAATATCGTGAATCTTCTCGGATATTCGACAGAGATGGGGGAGAGACTTCTCGTATACGAATACATGCCTCACGGTACGCTGCATGATCATCTCCATGGCGGTCTCTCCCCTCTGAATTGGAGCCTTAGGTTTAAAATCGCGATGCAAGCCGCGAAGGGTCTGGAGTACCTTCACGAAGAAGTTAACCCGCCGATCGTTCATCGCGACGTGAAATCGTCGAACATTCTCTTGGACTCGGACTGGGTGGCGAGGGTCGCGGATTTCGGGCTCGTGACATCGAACGAGGAGAAGAATCTCGACACGAAAACAGACATTTACAGATTCGGAGTGGTGTTGCTGGAGATTCTGACAGGGAGAAAGTCATACGACAGAGATTATGATCCTCCAGAGATCGTGGAATGGGCAGTTCCGGTGATCAGGGAAGGCAAATCGGCGGCGATCATCGATCGGTACGTGGCGGTTCCGAGGAACGTGGAACCGCTGCTGAAACTTGCTGACATGGCGGAGCTGTCCTTACGGGAGGATCCAAACCAACGTCCCACGATGTCGGAGCTAGCGAACTGGTTGGAACACATTGTAAGAGATGAGTTCCTCTTATGACATTTGATTTTTTTTTTTAAAAAAGATTCATTCTTCTTTGTGTGCGAGTATTTAATCATTCTTTTGTGTTTTTAGGATATTTTATTTGGGGGGAAATTGTATATTTGATCTGAGTTTGCCTTGTAGATGGGAGTGGGACACAAATTTTTTATTTTCTTTTGTGGGTTTAAAAATAAATACAATTATATTATAAACCACAACTGCAGCTTACAACCTAGAGGAAAATGAAAAACACAAGTTTACGAGTTCGGATCAATTATTTACGTATAAAAAAAAACCGTGTTATTTATATTATGAATTCTAATATAATATGTTTTTTTCCCTAC